GATTTTATTTATTTATTTGACAGAGAGAGACACAGCAAGAGAGGGAACACAAGCAGGGGGAGTGGGAGAGGGAGAAGCAGGCTTACCGCTGAGCAGGGAGCCAGATGAGGGGCTCGATCCCAGGACCCTCAGCCACCCAGGTACCCCTATAACTCCATTGGTCTTGTCACCCTGTGAATCTGTTCAAGTTTCTTCAGTGACAAAAACAAATACAAAAAAAAAATCATTTTCTTTAATTCTGCATCCTTCATGATAGTTACCATCTTATCTCTTTATTTTTTTTCTCAAATGTATCTTTATACCCTATATCTTTACCTTCTCAACTCCCATTTAGTCTTTAAAGTCTTTAACCTGTGGTCTTCTGGCTTCTGCCCTCACTGTTTAATTGAAATTGTACTAGCAAAGGTTACTAATGATTTCTTCATAGCTAAATTTAATGGATATTTTCAGATTTTATCTTACTTGATCCATCTACTGTATTTAATATTGTCCATGATATCTTTTCTTCTCTGGATTTTTAAAGGTAAAGATGACACCTGCTCATTGTAGAAAATGTAAACATTATAGAAAAACATACAAAAGGAAATTATGCCTCCCCAGTATGCAGAGATAACTGATATTTACATTTGACGAACTGTTCACTCAACAATATGTTGTGGATATTGTATTCCATTGTATATATACACTATAATTCACATAAGCTGTTTTATATTTTTTAAATTTTTAATGATTTTATTTATTTATTTATTTATTTATTTATTTATGTATTTATGTATTTAGAGAGTGTGTGTGAGCAGAGAGAGGGGCAGAGGAAGAGGGAGAGAGAATCTCAAGCAAACTACACGTTTAGCACAGCCTGACGTAGGGCTCAATCCCTTGACCCTGAGATTATGACCTGAGCCAAAATCAAGAGCCAGACACTTAAATGACTGAGCTCAAGTCTTTCTTCATCTGAAATCTCCCCAAGGTAATTTAATTTTTCTCTCATGTATTTAGCCTTCACTCAGTGACTGCCAATCCTACATCTCTAATTCAGGTCACATTCCAGCATGCCAACACCCATACATCTGATTTTCTACATGCAGCTCCATTCAGATGTCTCATAGGCACCTCAAACTTTATGAATCCAATATTGAATGTAGACCTTTCCTTAAAGTCTGCCATTTCCTATATTACCCAGTCATTGGCATTGCCTTATATCTATGCTCACAAGCCAGAATCTTGTCCTTTCTCGCTCTCACCCTTTGTATACAATTAGTCATTAATTTTAGTGTAATCATCTCAACATTTCTCAGGTATCTTCCCCTCTCTATTCAAAATGCTGCTGATTTTATTTTAGACCCTTTCATTTCTTGTCTGAATGAACACTTAAGTGATCTCATTGCCTTCATTCTTACTTGCATCCAATCCAACTTCCATGCTATAAAAAATTGTTTTGTAAACACTCAAACATGGTCATATCATTCTCCTGTTTAAAATAGTCATTATCTCCCAATTAACTTCACTTTAAATGCGGTAAACTATCACCAAGGGTCGCTGTAACATCTGTGACATTGAGCTTATGATGAGTAGGTATGTTTGGTTGATTTAAAGGGTCAGAGTCAGGATGGAGATTGACAGGAAAATCTATGATATATCTGATCATCTTTTGCTTCTCTTTAAAGGACTTTGTTGGCTTCCTAACAACTATATATTTTAGAGGGGTTCTGTGATCAGGCTATTTCCTGTCTATGAATCCTCACTTCTAGCCACTGCTTTCTTGAAATTTAGGCTGCATCAACACTAAACACATGGTGCTCTTTCATATCCCTGTGTTTTTGTGTTTTGTGTTTTTTTTCACATTTTGTTTTCTCTGCCTGGAATGTCCTTCATGTCTTAATTTCCAGGATAAACTTTTATTCTTTAAAATCCTGTACAGACATCACCAATTCTAGGAAGTTTCTCTAAATACCCCTTTCTCCCGGAGCCATACACCCATCTATCCATTCATTTGTTTATTACTGAACCAATATTTATTGAGTACTTAATGTGAGCCACATGGCATGTTAGATACTAGAAACACCATGGTGAATAAGAAAGATTAAACATACCCTTTACTCTTCTTGGCCTTATATTTAGTGGTGGACACACACACACACACACACATCCAAATAACCAGACAAATAAAATAATCACCAGTTTGCTAAATGTTGTGCATAAAAGATGCAAAGATCTGTGATACAAAATAATTTGTATGAGGGGCAGATGCAAATGCAGCATGCTTTAATATAAAGTTGATGCATATGAAGTTGCTGGTATTTGTTTCTGTCCCATCTAATTGGCAGTTTTATGTAGTTCAACCTAATAATTTCCTTACAGAGGAATTGACATTTAAACTGAGCCCTGGGCACCTGGGTGGCTCAATTGGTTAAGCATCCAACTTTTTTTTTAAAGCATTCTCCCTATTTATTTATTTATTTATTTTTATTATGTTCAGTTAGCCAACATATAGTACATCATTAGTTTTTGATGTAGTGTTCAACAATTCATCAGTTGCGTATACCACCCAATACTCATCACATCCCGTGCCCTCCTCAATGCACATCACCCAGTTGCCCCATCCCCCCAACCACCTCCCCTCTAACAACCTTCAGTTTGTTTCCTGGAGTCCAGAGTCTCTCAGGGTTTGTCTCCCTCTCTGATTTCTTCCCATTCAGTTTTCCTTCCCTTCTACTGTGGTCCTCTGTGCTATTCCTTATGTTCCACGTATGAGTGAAACCATATGATAATTATCTTTCTCTGCTTGACTTATTTCACTTAGCATAATACCATCCAGTTCCATCCATGTCAATGCAAATGGTAGGTATTCATCCTTTCTGATGGCTGAGTAATATTCCATTGTATATATGAACCACATCTTCTTTATCCATTCATCTGTTGAAGGACATCTCGGCTCCTCCCACAGTTTGGCTATTGTGGACATTGCTGCTATAAACATTGGGGTGCATGTGCCCCTTCTTTTCACTACATCTGTATCTTTGGGGTAAATACCCAGTAGTGCAATTGTTGGGTCATGCAGGCTGGTGCTGCCACTCTGGAAAGCATCCAACTCTTGATTTCAGCTCAGGTTGTGATCTCAGTCATGAGATCAAGCCCCACATTGGACTCTGCTCTGGGCATGGAGCCTGCTTAAGATTCTCTTTCTCCCTCTGGCCCTCCCCCCTCTCTAAAAATAAATAAAATAAAATGAATACATACATACATACAAATAAATAAGCTGAGACCTGAAGAATGTAGTAGCATGGGTCATGATGGCTAAGCTTGGAGCTTATCATGCCCCAGAAACCAAGAGAAGATAAGAAAAGATAGAATTGAGAAAAGGGGTGATGAAAGTGAGAGAGAGGGGTGCCTGGGTGTCTCAGTCAGTTAAGTGTCTGCCTTCGGCTCAGGTCATGATCCCAGGGTCCTGGGATTGAGACCCACCATCAGGCTCTCTGCACAGCGGGGTGTCTGCTTCTCCCTCTTCTTCTGCCTACTGCTCTAGCTTCTGCTCTGCCTACTTGTGCTCTCTCTCTGTCAAATAAATAATAAAATCTTAAAAAAAGAAAAAAAAGTAAGAGAAGCAGGGCAGATCATATAGTACCTTTATAGGAGTCTGGATTTGATTCTCATTAAAATATAAAGCCACTGTAGTATTTTAAGACCTGCTGGTTGTAGTGTGGGGCTGGAATGGAAGAGAATAAGGGTAGAAATAAGGGTATCAATTAAGAGGTTGATGTAAAGAGGCAATATAGTGTTATGTCAGGTGTTCAGGGTTTGGAGTCAGGTTGCCTTGGTTTAAATCCTAGTTTGGACATTTATTAGCTATTACTTTATGCAAGTTACTCAAATTCTCTAAGACTCAGTTTATTCATCTGTGAAATAGGGATAATAATAGAATCATCCTCATAGAATTAGTCTAGAGATTGAATGAGATAATCTGTTACAAAACACTAAGCAGTCCCGGGCAGATAACACTTAATTGATACTAGAGATTAATAGTCCAAGTGAGAGATGATAGTGCCTGTACTAAATTGGTGACAATATATCTGGAAAAAGTGAATGGATATGAGACCTATTGTCAAGGCTTAAACAGCAGAATATAGTAATGGATTAGATGTGAGACTTGAAGGAGAGGATTTTTCAGGTATGCCTCCTAGGTTTCTGTCTGAGTGGAGTGGATTGTGCTGCCCTCTCTTAAGTTGGAGGAGATCTGCCTCATATAGAATTTAGCTATAGAAATTTCTCTTTTTATACTAAATAAGTCCAAATGAAAAAAGGAAAACAGTATCATATAATATAAAAGGAAATATTTATTTAAAAAATCAGGTAAGTCAGAATTGTACATAAGTTATATAAAATACTTTATTTTAGATCCATACCACAATATCTTGAGTATGCAAAAGTCTTAAATGTGTATATTCTTTATTCCCAAGGTCTAAGATTTTGAAAATTTCTACTGTACTATATGATAGATAGTGAACAGTTAAGCTCATGTGTTTATTTTGTCTTATATTAAAGGCATTTTGTAACCATTCCTTTTGCTTCTCTAACAGAATGGAGCCTGCTTGATATACCAGCAGGTGAAGCACCAAAGGAGGGTTTATCTTTATTCTTCTTAGCATTGAGAGTCTGCTCTTGGAACCATCAGGCACCATGGGGAAGCGGGATAATCGAGTGGCCTATATGAATCCTATAGCAATGGCCAGATGGAGGGGCTCAACTCAATCTACAGGCCCAACAATACAAGATTATCTGAATCGACCAAGGCCCACCTGGGAAGAAGTGAAGAAACAATTAGAAAATAAAAAGAAAGGCTCCAAGGCATTAGCTGAATTTGAAGAAAAAATGAATGAGAATTGGAAAAAAGAATTAGAAAAAAGTAGAGAGAAATTATTGAGTGGAAATGAGAGCTCTTCTAAAAAAAAAGAAAAAAAGAAAAAGAAAAAGAAGAAATCTTGTCAGTCTTCATCTTCTTCTTCATCAAGCTCTGATTCTTCAAGCAGTTCAGATTCTGAGGATGAGGAAAAGAAACAAGGAAAAAAGAGAAAGAAAAAGAAGAACCATTCATACAAATCATCAGAAAGCTCTACATATGAATCTGAATCAGAGAGCAAGGAATCTGTGAAAAAGAAAAAGAAGTCAACGGATGAAACAGAGAAAGAAAAGTATATTAGAAGTCTCAGCAAAAAAAGAAAGAAGACTTATCCTGAAGATAAACCCTCATCATCAGAGTACTCATCAGAATCAGATTATGAAGAGGAAGTGCAAACAAAAAAGAAGAGAAGACATGAAGAGCGAGAAAAAGCAAAGAAGAAGAAGAAGAAACAGCACAAGAAACATAGTAAGAAGAAGAAAAAGAAGTCAGGTTCAAGTCACAAGTCAGGATAACAAGAAAAAAATTAAGATTTTCCTATTTAAAAAAGCAAGGATTTAAGGAAATTTCAACTGTGAATGTTAGGGCATATTTACCAAAATGCATGAATTTCCTTGTGTTTGTAGAATATTCCTGGACTGAGTGCCAGTCATATGCCACTGTGCCAGAAAGGGCCATAATCATTGCCTGCAGCATAAATATATAATTTTGTTTGTATGTTTTCCCTTCCAGGGTTAATTCTTCTGAGAGCTAAAACCCTGTTGTTCATACTAGTGGTTAAAACATTTGGATTTTGAATTAAAATGTTTTAGATAATAATTTTGACCCCCCAAATGTATCTAATTTAAAAGTATCTAATTTGGATATATCTTTAAAATATAATCAGAAATATCTAGACAACTATAGTTGACATTTTTGAAGCATGGACTTAATGATGTCTCAGAATCCTTACTTTTGAAAATTATTTAACTTCTTAATAAATTTTAGTTTACATGGGGAAAGGGCTTGTGGGGGAAAAAAGAGTTTGCTATCACTTTGGCTAGCTGAATAGTGTGCCTTTGATCTTTACACATCCTATTTTTGCCAGTGCAGCGGCCATTCTTTTCTTATTTAGTGAAATTCTGGGATGTTGTATGCTGCTTCAAGTGAACAAGAAGACAGAAAGTATAAGCCCCCAGTTCTGTGAAATTTACCTCCACTTTAGCAGTACTGAATAATGTTTAGCATTAGAGTGTTACATTATTTGAATTAACTTTGATACCCTTTGGAGGGGAATCATTTTAAATAAACCCTGGTATTTTTTGATTAATAAAGATTCTGAAATATTTTGCATATTTTATACTATTAATTTTTGATTATCCAGGGATATTCTATACAAGCAGTAATCCTTTTTATATGATTTATGCTTAGGATACAAGTTTGTAATTTCTTAATCTTACTATATTTCGTTACTAGGTTTAATTGCACACTTGACAAAATATTTAGCATGTAAAAAGAAGGTTTTTAAAAAAATATTTAATGCCTTCATATTGAAGCTTGTTTACTCTAAGCAAGTTAAGTGCCAGACCTCTAGTATGCTATGTGTCTTGTTACATAAAACTACTGCCAAAATCTTAGTAAGTATGCTGTTTAAAAGTTCAGTGTGTTAAGCATTAGTATTGAATTAAAATAGGAATTCAGTTTAGGACATAATGATATCATTGATCTTTCTGTGTCATATTTTACTAAGATTTGGTGACTTGTGTTTGTTTACCATTAATGCTGGAATGAGTTGAGAATTATTTTTATTTTACATATTGATATATCAGAGTAACACGAATCATCAATTGATGTCTCAAAAAAGAACCATCTGTTACAGAGGATGTGCTAATTGTAATGTCATATTTACAAAGTATTTTGGCATGATGAGAGAATCAATAGCTATTTTTTAATAACTGATTTCATATCAGTTCCCTTGAATCACAGGTAAAGTTATTATAAAGATAGAAAACATCAAGCAAATAAATACTGACTCCCCAAATTTTTGCAGTTGAAATACCAGAATCTCTCAGAAAGGCTCTTGGAACATTATAAATGTGATGTCATGTTAGATCACCTTAAAGCTTCATAACTTTAGTTGTTTGCTAAAAAACAAACAGACAAAAAAAAACCCCAAAACAAAAAACTATATATGCTGATAAAATATATATTTAAGGGATATTTTATAACCACATAGAGTTTTCCAAAATTGTTTTTCATTAAAATATGAGAAAAGCTTATATTATTTGTAGAATATGGCAAAAACATTAACAGCTTACCAAATATCTGTGTGCTCCCATTCACTTCCTAGCCCCTTGTAGATAGGCAATGCCATTTGACTACTTCTAGCAGAGGGATTGCAAAAATTGTAAACAGAAATGAGGTGTCATTTCAATACTGGAGCAGAAAAATGTCCTGCATGACCTTCCAGCTCTCTCAATGTACTCCAATTGGTGTACCTACAAGATAGAGGCAGCCTGTATCTCTAAGTTACTGTTTATAAGGGACCTGCCCTGGAGAGCTGATGGACTTGCAGGGAACCTTTTGGGAGTAAGAAATAAACTGTTATATGTTAAGCCACTGAGATTTTGGGTCTTTTTTATTACCACAGCATCACCTAACCTAATTTAATAGCATTCTAGAATGTCTATTTTGTTATTTACATCAAATAATTTACGTATCTTCTATCACATCTTTCTTTAGATTGTTTCAGAGGTGATCGTTTATGCCATAGTAGAAGGAAATGTTATTTTGTTTGCATTGGTTTTTATGTAATGACTGAGGAAGAGGGTGGTCTAGAATAACATTTTATGCTTATCAGCAGTGCTGACTGTCTGGAAAGTAAAACTATTTCATTATTTCTCTGATTATAGCCAAAATAATATTCCAGTAAAGGGTTCAGGAAGGAACTTTTAAAAGCACTCTTGGGAACTTGATAAGGAAGAGGAATGATTTTTTTTAGATAAGTATAGATGGTATGGTAAAGTGATATGGAAATATGTAGAGGACAATAGATTAAATAGATTTAGGTGAACATGTAATACGTAGCCTCCAGATTGAAAACAAAATAATTTATCCCTTATGTGAAAAGCATTGAAGTTGTTATTAGTGGCTTGCTTATATGATTCATAAAAAAGTTAAAAATAGAACTACCCAATGATCCAGCAATCGCTCTACTACATATTTACCCAAAGGATACAAAAATACTAATTCAAAGGAACATATGCACTCAAATGTTTATAGCAGCATTATCTGTAGTAACTAAATTATGGAAATAGCCCAAGTGTCCATCAATTGATGAATGGATAAAGAAGATGTGGTGTGTGTGTGTGTATACATATTATATATAATTATTCCATTATATTCCATATATATGTGTGTATATATATATATATCAAAATTACCCTCCAACTGAGAAAGAGCCCTTACCTTAAGGTCACACTCCCTTCTCAGATGTAGGTCACATCCAGTGACTGGTAAATGAAGGGTTATAGAGAACCAAGGTCCTTGTCTCAAGACAGTACAACTTTCAAGGTTATCTCCGCTCTAGAATACTCAGAGGGACTGTCTGAGGTCTTTCTTGACACTTTACCTCAGTTCTGCACCCAAACTTACTGCCGTCTCTCTCATTCTGAGAACCCCCACCTGCCAAATAATCTGGCATGCATAGTAGCACCTCAGTGTCTTGAAGGACATAGTCTAAAACCCTTAATATTTTAATTGCTTGTCTTTGCTTTCTACCTCAATAAATTATAAATCCCAAGAAAGTAAGATATGTTTCTACTCCTCTTCACTATCTTTGGAATACATAGGACAAATAATACTCATTGAATAAATAAATGCATGGATTAAAGAAAAAAGATATGCTTCAAATTTATACCTGTTGTACTCAAAAGTCCGAGCTCTTTCCACTATGGAGTATTACACTGCCCTCTTAGGGAAACTACACACAAATGGAGGGAAAAGATACAGTTCTGTCAAGATTATTCAACCTCATATTGTCTCAATCCAGAAATATTAAAGAGAAAAAAATAAACCTTTTAGAAAACATAGAATATTTCATTGTTTAAGCAAAGCCCATCTGTGTGAATGTAAAATATATAATTCCCTACATAATTTTCTTAACCTCACAATGCAGTCTTACTCAATTTCATGATTGAATATGAATTAAATTTACCATGAATAATTGAAATAAAATATTAATTATTAAAAGAGAAGTTAAGTCTTACTTTATTATGAATATGATTTGTATAATATGCCCTTGCTACTCTTAGGAACAAATGGAATTCACACTATTATCAGCCTGAATTAAACACAGGAACAAGTCTCAGATTTGGCCTTTAGTTCCTATAAATAAAGACCAAATAATGCATTGAGGTATAGTTACATGACCCAAAAGTTCAGAAATGAGTAAGGAAGACAGGAATTTTGAATTGACATATTGAATTATTCAATCTATATTAGAATCTGATCATCCATAATTTATAATAAGAAAACGTTATTGTATATTGTAGTAATAGCCAGAAACAAGGTAACAATAAAAATGATCATATGCATTGTCAATAATCTTCAGGCTTATTACTCATTACACCAAACTGAATCATAAATTAATTCCACATGTAAATCAGTCACACTGTCATGATTATCAGAGAATATTTAAGTATTTCCTTCTTCTTGGAAAGTGCTGATGAAAGAGTATACATTGGTAAACATATCCCCAAGTTCGAAGTGGCTCAAACTTTTTAAAAAATATTTTATTTATTAATTTGAGACAGAGAGAGAGAAAGATCACAAGTCGGGGGAGGAGCAGAGGGAAAGGGACAAGCAGACCACAGACCCCGACGTAGGGCTTGATCCCACGACCCTGAGATCATGACCTGAGCCAAAATCAAGTGTTGGCTGCTTAACCGACTGTTCCACCCAGGTGCTTCAAAGTGGCCTAAACTTTGAACCTAAAGACAATAATGAGAAACTCACCAAAAAAAATTTGCAACTGACCTAAGAAGCTGCCCACATCATTTGCAACTCAGATAAAAGGCCAAAAACAGGTGTCAAGAAAAAGAATCAGACTAAAATGATATTTCAGATTTCAACAGTTAGTTTCTCAAATTTATTTTAAGTTAATACACTAGAGGTTTCAAAAAAGAGCGAACTACCTCAAAGTTCATTTTCCCTATAAAAATCTCATTGTTATATCCTGCACTGGTTTCTCAGAGTAGGGTATGCAAGAACTACCATTCCAGAATATTAGCTTTAAATTATGGGCCCAAAAAACAAAAACCCTCAAGTGACCAAATTTCAATTTACCTCCCTGCCTGTTAATTTCTAAGAATAAAATTGGATTGGCAGATCTGGAACATGTCAAAAAATTAGTCAATTAAGGCAAGAATCTCTGGATGAAGCAATTCAAAAATAAACTTTTGTTTATGCATGAATTCACTAATTACTTCATTTATATACATTTAATCAAGACATTTGGGTGTGTTTAATGTTCCCATTTTACCAATCTCTCCACTCTACAAGAAAATTTTAAAGAAAGTATAAAAACTAGAACTCATGCCAAGAGGAGCTGGGGAAGATGGCAGAGTAGGAGGATTTTGAGCTCACCCTCTCCCACATTTACAACTAGATATCATCCACCTCCAAGTAAATAAATCCGAGATCAATCCAAACAGGGGCAGAATAAACTCCACAACTAAATATAGAGAAGAAGATGAATATGAAAGTTTAGAATAGTCAGAAGGGCAGAGGGAGACTGCACAAAGAAGAGAAGGAGCTATGTACCCAGAGAGTGCAGAGAAATGAACTCTTGCACCAAGGAAGGCACATGGGGAAGACTAATCCCCATAACATTTAGCTTTGAAAACCAGAGGAGCTAAATTCTGTGAGTTTTTATTACCAGTGGGACTTGGAGCCTGGAGCTTTAAAAGTCAGCTGACTCAGCACTGGGCTAGCCAGAAGGGTGAGTGATAGCTGGGCTGCCACCCTTAAAGAGACAGCAGACTGCATGGAGAGGCAACATAAAAACAGTAGTTTACACAATACTGGGGACAACAGGAGACAGATATGTTCACACTGATTTCAGAGCATGTTGGGGGAATTCTCCAAAAAACAAGGGATTTGGCATGTGCCATTTTTCTCCCCCAACCCCAGCATAAACACAGGGCCATCTGTGGGAGGAGAGGCTACACAGACACTTCCTACCTAACCTGTTACCAGTGCCCCACAACGACAACTCCTCCTGAGGACTCTCCCACTCCAAGCCTGCTAGACTTGGACCTGTGTTCAGGTCAAATTTTGTTAAAGCAATGTGTGCATCCTACACAGGCACCAGGTACACAGCTGCCACCTTGCAGT